CCATCTTTGATTCATGTTGTTTTTAACTGGACTATTACAATTATTATTAATTATGTCTGCAGTCTACAACACAACAAAATAGGAAATAACAACAATAAACATGATTTAAACAGACACAAAAATAAACCATTTAACTACGTAGCCTACTTACTTTCTTGTAGAAGTACAAATGTCCAGGAAATATGCCCAAATCAACAAGAACGGCGAGCCGGCATGTACGACGCTCCGCTTCAGTAATGCTTCTGAAACGCCTGTGAAACGCGCCCGGTAGGGTATTGATTGAATTGATTGAAAAGTTTATTAACAGCTTGTATATTGGGTACAGTACAGTACAGCTCAAAACATACAATTGTTAAGGGGATGCAGACCAGAGAAAGACTTTCGTTTTGTTTACATCAGGGTCCCCCATTTCCAATTCATCATATAATTTAAGACATATAAGACATATTTGACATACAGATGGCTTATTTACAATTTACATACAGGTGGTTTTTTACATACAGATTGCTTATTTACAATTTTCATTTTAGATTTCGTTCTAATACATCCTAACCGGACATTTAAGACATACCAAGTCTACAGATATACAGTTAGTAACAGAGTCTAAAATGTGAGTATATACATAGATGGGGGGGAAGCTGTCCATTGTACGACAGGTTGAGATTTGTACCATTACCGGGGCCAGTTTTGCAATGCTCTCCCCGAAGGTGCTCTTTAAGAGAGGTTTTGAAGGTAAGTATAGTTTTACTTTCCTTTACAGTTGTGGGAAGAGCGTTCAATCTTGATGTGGCATAATTGCGAAACGTGTATTCCCCCTTTTTTGTGCCAAATCTGGGTTTCACATGATTTGTGGAGCTCCCTCTGGTGTTATGATCATGGTATTCCTTGACCTTTGGGAAGAATTTTGACATGTACATGGGTACCATAGAGGTGTAGTGGATCTTGTAGACCAGGCCCATTGCAAGTAGCAGTACTCTGTCGTCTACTCTAAGCCATCCTAGGTTGTCAAAGTGGGCAGAGGTGAGGTGGGTTCTAGATGAAAGGTCAAGCAGTAGTCTGACCAGTTTATTTTGCGATGTTTGAAGTTTTATTTTTAGCGCCTTGGAGGTGCTATGGTACCATGACGTGCAAGCATAGTCATAGTACCCTTGAATGAGTGCTCCTGCCAGAGTTTTCAGGGTGTTTTTGTTTATCAGAGAGGAGATCCGGTATAGGAATCTAGTTCTTTGATTGACTTTTTTTATTACATTGGATGCCATTTTGTCACAGGAGAGGTTTGCCTCAAGAATAGATCCTAGGTATGTAATTTCCTTCTTACTTGTGACAATAATGTCACCCACTGCAACTGAGAAGTCGTCGGATTTGCTGAGATTATGTTTCGAACCGATGAGAATGGACTCTGTTTTACCCAGGTGTAATGATAATTTATTATCGGCGAGCCAGGTGCAGATTCTGCCGAGCTCGGAGCTGAGGGTTTTTTCAACCTGCAATCTGCTCCTGTCAGAGACCAGCAGGGCTGAGTCGTCCGCGAACAGGAACAAGTTGCAGTCACATGCTGATGACATGTCATTTGCATAAATTAGGAACAGTAACGGACCTAATATGCTTCCTTGTGGAACACCACAGCTCACTGGGAGGGGGGGGGACAGAGTACCATTTACCTCCACCATCTGTTCTCTCCCCTCCAGGTAGGACCGCATCCAGCTCACCGATAGTTTATCAAAACCAATTGCTTTTAGCTTGTCAATCAGAATGGGGTGATTGACAGTGTCGAAAGCCTTTGTAGGTCCAGCATCACCATGCCGCAGTACTTGCCCTCGTCCACCTCTTGTTTGATGTGGTCGCTCAAATAAAGAAGGCATGTGTCAGTGGAGTGGGATGTTCTAAAGCCAGATTGAAATTCATAGATTAGTTTATTTTCCGCGAGGTACTTTTCGACCTGTTCATACACTATTTTTTCCATGACTTTCGAGATGGAGGTAAGTATAGAAACAGGGCGGTAGTTGCCTGGGTCCAATTCGTTGCCCTTTTTGTGCAGGGGGGTTACTCTTGCAATTTTGAAGTCTTTGGGTACTTTTCCCTGTTTTATGGAGAGGTTAATTATGTGAGCTATGACTGGTGAGATGGCGGTTGCTGTGTCTCTGAGGAATTTGGAGGGGATATTGTCGTGGCCAGTGGCCTTGTTAGGTTGGAGGGCGCTCAGTTTAATGAGTACCTCTGCTGTTGTTACCCTTGCTAGACTGAAATCATCTTTGCGTACGCCTAGGTTTTTGTAGTAGGTCATGATGTGATCTACTCCAAAAAGCCCTGAGTGGGAGGACAATTTATTTACAAGAGTTGTGGCTATGTTTGTGAAAAAAATGTTCAAGTACTTGGCCACATCCAGTTTGTCTGTGATGAGCCTGTTATCTGTCTGTTTAAGTTCGAAAATCTCGTTTTGAGTTTTTTACTGCAGCCAAGCTGGTTATTGAGTAATTTCCAAAGTTCACGGGGTTTATTTTTGTTTTCCTCAGTTTTGACATTGATGAAACTCTTTTTGGCAGTTTTGATCATGGAGCTTACGTCATTTCTTAGTCTGTTTCTTTCAATTTTTAGTTCAGTCACGTGGGCCTGGAGTTCACTGCTCGTGCTTTTGGAAAGCATTGACTGACTTTTATGAAACTCAGAGCATTTTTTGTCTCTGGTTTTCATAGCGGTCAGTATGCCGGAGTGCATCCACGGCTCAGCGCGATTTTTTATCCTGGTTGTTCTTAGGGGGGCCAAATCATTGAGTATTGCAGAGAATTTGTTTTTGAAACCCAGCCATGTTTCTTCAACTTGTGTACCACTGAGCTCATCTGACCAGTCCAGGCTCTCCAGTTCTAGGTCAAAGGCCTCGCTAGAGTAGTTTTTGAGGTCTCTAGATATGACTGTTTTGTGACAGCCGGCCCTTTGTTTTAGCTTTTTGCGGGTACAGAATATCATATAATGATCACTTAAACCGCATGCTATAACCCCTTTACTGGAGATCCTGGACCTGTCAGAGGTCAGAATGAGATCAATGGTAGTTTGTGTTGTTTCACATACCCAGGTGGGTTGGGTGATTAGCTGGCTGAAGCCGTGCAGATCACAAATCCTACTGAAGGACTTGAAGACGGACGTGTCTTTACGTTGCATATCCGTGTTCCAGTCTCCAATAATAATTGTCTCTACATCCCCCACATCAGCCAAACACCCATCTAATGTATCATAAAAGTCACTCTGTTCCGGTGGCCTATAGATTGTCCCGACTATTACAGATTTAGCATTGTCAAAAACAATTTCAATATTTTATGATGCAGGTCAGTACGGTTTTTGAAATTGGTGTCTTTATGTATGTACATGCAGACACCACCTCCATTCACGTTCCTGTCCCTTCTCACTACAAGATAATCTTCAATTTCAATCTCTGAATCTGTAATGGCATTGTCCAATTTGGTCTCTCCCGTTCATGAATAGCTGCCTGAGTTCAGCCAGTTTGTGTCTCAGGCTGTTAGTGTTCAGATGAAAAATATGTAGTCCATTTTTGTTGCTTAAATGCACAATGTCGTCAGCTTGCAGATATTTGTCTTTGTCCGTTACAGCAACCGGCATCTCTGTTGTCGTCGCGTAGTTGTTAATGCAGCGGAATAGATGCTAGTTGTGATGCTAGTTGTGATGCTAACTCCTCGAGCCTGCAGGACTGGCTTCTTGTCTGCACCGGGCCCGGATTCAGATGGATGTCTCCCGCTAACAATAAGACCAAGACGATCATACTTCTTCGGTCTAGTTTGCCTGACGGGGGTAAGTACTTTCGCGTCGGGTTTGCAGTTAATAATAATGCATGAATGCTTGCACTTCCAAAAGCGAGGTGTTTCCTTTCCCAGCCGTTGAGAAGGTAAAAGTCATTGTGGTTCATTGTATCCCCGCTTTCATTACTCTCCTTCTCTAAGTGATGTTGCCTCATTGATGAGTTGAGGTAGGAGTCCATAATCCATATTGTCAGGAGGATCAAATATGTAAAAAATCGTGAGGAATAACCTCCAAAGCGGGAGCTCTCGAAAATGCGACCACTCATAGCGAAACCGGATGCAGAGTATGACGCCGGAGGAGGCCGGACCAAAACCGCGGCGGAGCCGTAACACGCCGCAGACGGACCCAGTGGAAACTAGGGGTTAGGCTCGTGTTGTGTTCAAGGACCCTGACCTTGGCCAGGAAAAATAGGCACTTTCTTGTTTAATTTTTTTGCGGTCTAGATTTCTTTAATTTTTTTCTTTTTTGCATGTGTTTATAAATTACCTCGAGGGCCGTACCAAATGGTCTTGCGGGCCGTATACGGCCCGGGGGCCGGAGGTTCCCCACCCCTGCTCTAAATGAATCACCTTCAATGTGATAGGAGAGATGGTGAGACCACCCATGCACACACACTGCCAACACACTCATGCTTTTATTCAGACGCACAGTGAAAGGCTCAGAGACAGTAGACAGGATGAAAACACACACATGCTTGACACTGGTCCTACTCTGCTAGAAACACAATTCAGTAGAGGCGAAATATGTCTTTTGTCAGTGTGTATGTGTGTGTGTGTGTGTGTGTGTGTGTGTGTGTGTGTGTGTGTGTGTGTGTGTGTGTGTGTGTGTGTGTGTGTGTGTGTGTGTGTGTGTGTGTGGCCTAGCATTACTATACTTGTGGGGACCTAAATCTGTCTACACAGTCACGTGTGGGGACTCGCCTCCCTTATGGGGACAAAATGGAGGTCCCCATGAGGGGGATCATTCATTTTAGGGTGAAGACTTGGTTAGGGTTAGGGTAAGGGTTAGGCATGTGTTGGTTATGGTTAAGGTTAGGATAAGTCTCCAGGAAATGCATGTAAGTCAATGTAATGTCCCCTGAAGTGATGTATACATGGTGTGTGTGTGTGTGTGTGTGTGTGTGTGTGTGTGTGTGTGTGTGTGTGTGTGTGTGTGTGTATGTGTGTGTGTGTGTGTGTGTGTGTGTGTACCTGGATGAGGCTGGCAGCTGGGTTCCTCCTCTTCTCAAAGTGCTTCTGGCGGTGCTGCTCCTGTACTTTCAGGGCAAAACCTGACCCGAGGATGCCCTGCACACAGAAACACAGACTAAGTTAGAAACTTGCAGAAAACGTGGTCGCTACACGTGTTGGAAATAGCTTTTTGGAGCTGTGAGGGAAGAAATCATGGATGTAGAAAGAGAACTGGATACAATTGGAGGCAGGGCACTGTAAGAAGGTTGCTCAGTGGTGCATGAAGCCAAAATGACCTGACTCTCAAAACTAAAAATCAGGATCTTCACTGGACCTTCCGGCAATCTTCCACATCCATTGGTCTCATAGAGCATGGCACTTGTATTTTCCTTATTTTGCCTCTATAATCTCTAGACAGACAGACAGACAGACAGACAGACAGACAGACAGACAGACAGACAGACAGACAGACAGACAGACAGACAGACAGACAGACAGACAGACAGACAGACAGACAGACAGACAGACAGACACAGACAGACAGACAGACAGACAGACAGACAGACAGACAGACAGACAGACAGACAGACAGACAGACAGACAGACAGACAGACAGACAGACAGACAGACAGACAGACAGACAGACAGACAGACAGACAGACAGACAGACAGACAGACAGACAGACAGACAGATAGACAGATAGATAGATAGATAGATATGTAAGTCAATTTGAATTAAACGGCTGACGCACTTTCTGTGGGATGTGGAATTAGAATAAATGTCTTCAGTCACGGCTTAATAATGTGTGTACTGTTTGACTCACAGCTGGCAGGGGCGAAGAAGGAAATCCCCAGCAGAGCAAACCCGGCGGATAACAACCGTCCCGTCCACGTCTGCGGGGTCTTGTCACCGTAGCCAATGGTTGTCAGGGTGATCTGAAGGGTCAGAGGTCAGCAGAAAAGGTAATCAGGGCTCTGTCTGAAGTCTGACCACGCTCGCTCACTCATTACTCACTATACAAAAGACTGAATAATTCATAATAAATGAGCATTACGTTTTTTCGATTTTTGGAACTTACATCGTTAGTCTGCTTCATCGCTTACAACTGCAGTGTTGCATTACTTTATGATGAGCAAACAGAAGCATTGATAAAGTAGGTGTGCTTTTTGTTATTTTGGGATTATTTCCTAGATTTTTCGTGGACATTTTTGAGAGCATAAACTGGTGTTTTGCTGCCGTTCATGGCAGAAAATGCTTGACTTTAGAAATTGCAAATGTATGAAAGAAGACATCTTACAAAAGCCTTGTATTAATTCAAAAATGTTTGCTAACCATTACACAATAGAATTAAAACAGATAACAAGCTTGTTGTTGGTGCTGGATTTAATGAAAACCCATTTCTAAACAGGCATATTTATTCATGTGATATAACGTGTTGAATGTTGCACTGTGTGGCATTAAAGACTGCATGTATAAAAAAAGATGCACTAAAGAAAAGGACATATATAATCACTTTATAGAAAATGATGGTAAGTGCATATCTCCATGGAGGCTGCCCAGTGGTAATGGCTCTTAGTTTTCTCTTTGTCAGCTCTTGCGTTGACTCATACAGTATCTGACAAAACGTAATCTTTCAGCCAAAATGATATAACAGCTTTTACTGTCACCCAGAGAGAGAAAGATGGTCCCGGACCCCCGAACGTGGGTACACTGTGCGTCTGAGTGTCATTCAGGAGAAAATGTAATTCATTGATTGGGCCATTTCTTGTTTGTGTGTTTTATGAAGGTTGAGTGGGTTTCAGATGTAGCGGGAAATAGAGCATTACGGCCAGCCGAGTGCGACACAACAAGCCGTTCCTGGTGGTTTCTGCAATGCATGTTTCATTAAGGTCAAACAGAAACTGTGAAGAGAAATGAATCAGTCAGGTTTCAGTTTTGTTTATTTTCCTTTTGTAAGAACCTAAAGGGAGAGATTGATTACAATTCTCGTACACAATGGATAAAGGTCTATGTTCATGCCATGTATACGATTTTTGTTGAGATTAAATAACAAAAAATCATAAGCTTTCAGAGATGTGACCACCAGTAGCATTTATTTCAGCAGCTGTTTAACAACATCTTGCAAGAAACAGCGTCTGAGGGCGTCTTAATATTTAACAAACTATGAATGTGTCATACTCACTTAACGGGAAGAAACTCAGCTATCAGACAATATTAACCATTTTTAGCTAAACGAAACAAAAGGGTAATAACAAAGGCTCTGAATTAGCCCTGAGCGAAAAAATGCACTTAGCACAGAACTCAAGGTAAAATACCTGTATTACTTATCGAATCTGCACAAACAAGATATTGATTAGCAAACTGAGATTCCACAGATTAGACATATAAGTATAATCACTTCCCCTCGATTCTATTGGCTCTAACAGTTAAGAAGAGGTGTCAATCATCAAAATCGACCGAGGGGGGCCAGAGATATGGAAAATCCACCCAAATGACCCCAGAAGTGTTTTTTTTTTCTAAACCTCTCTAAAAAGTTCAAATGTCACTTATTTTTGCATCAATCTTGATACAGGGTACTTATTATATGTTCTATATTGATTCTGACTTTTCTACATCCAACTCACAGGTTTATCATTGCAAAGATTATTAATTTATCCCTTTCAATTGTTCTGGGAATGTCATTTTCGAGCCTGAGGCCTGAAAAACAGGCTCGGGGCTCAACTGGTTTTAAAAGGCATGAGGAGTTGAAGACACTCCATTGAATGTGTGTATTAATGTGTGTGTGCTCACCGTTCCCCACCACAGAGCGTCGGCGTACGTGGCAAACTCTTGGTTGAATTCTTTCTCCACCAGATAGACCAAGAACGAGGAGAAGATTAACACCAGGAACCCAATGTACCAGGCAGTCACCAGCTCCTATTAGACACAGAAAAACATTATATGTAGTAAAGGCTTTTACAGCCCTTTGCTCAGTTAGAAAGAGAAGTCTGATATTGGATACTTTAATCTTGAATTCAATCGAATTGAATATTTCGTTTTTCATTCTTCTTTGTATGGAAGCAATTTGTTTGTGTCTCTCTTTTGACATAAAACAAGTGTATTTTTTTCAGTTTAACCACTAACTTTTTATAGCAACAGGAAGAAAATCATCTGCTGTTTCTCACTTGGTTGATTTTAAATTGAGTTTATAACAAAGTATGCAGTTCAAAATCATGAAACCTCACAGTTATCATTTCTACATTTTCTTTTCCTCTTTGTGTTCTGACCGTTTCCTGGTTGCTGGTGAAACAGCACATTTCTAAACAATCAATGTTGTTTAACATGTTTTAACCTATACTTACAGTTTTAACTTATTGTGACCAAGCCTTCATTCATTACATTTGGTGTCTAAAACAGTCCTGGCAAACACCTGTGCGTAAATATCACTCAGTTATTGCTTCAATATATAGATACATGTTAAAGGTCACCTATCATGCTATTTTTAGGCAATAGCATAGGTCTCAGATATATAAAAGTATATACAAAAAATTTCTATGAAGTGTTTTGCTCAAAATACATGTATAATTGATACAAAATAAAAAAGGAGGGGGCTGAGCTCATGCGGGACCCGGCAGCTACTGTCTAAACTAAATACTGCCGTGATGAAACGCCATATCATGGATTACCAAGGATTATTTCTGAAACAGTATGGAGCTCAAAGGCTTTCTCTCTTGCCGGTTATACCACAAGGTGAGTTCCTTTTTATTTCCTGTTTCTTCACACACATGCTCTCCAGTACAGGTTAGCTCTGAGTGTTAGCGATGCTAATGTAAACACCGACCATATTACGTCCAAAACAGTCGGGCATTGTTTCTGATAGCAACGTTTCTGATTGGGCCATGAAGCAAATCTGGATCAGCTCCGTTGTAGCCCCGTTTTTAGAGGTACGGAGGAAAAGAGAGAGGGTTTTATTTTCTGAGTTCCCCGACACACCGGGGACACATATTTATGTATAAAAGACATCAAAAAGTGCATGTTGCATGATAGGTCCCCTTTAAATTGTATAATACTTGCTAAAACTCTGTGTGCAACAGTATAAAACACTGGATGATTAGCATGAGTAGTAATATACCCCAGGATTAATAAAGAATAAAAGTGCTTCTAGGTTAACAAAACAAGTAAAAAATACAAGGGAAATTATGCAATAATCCACGGCCTGATTAACAGTTTTATAATAACTGAACCATAAAAATAAAATGTTGTTATAACTACATCTCTGTGTGCAACAGTATGAAGAACTGGATAGTTAGCATTAGTAGTAATATCCACAAGGATTGAAATAGAATGAAAGTGCTACCAAAATAATCTAGGTTAACAAAACAAGTAAAGAATACAAGGGAAATTATGCAATAATCCACGGCCTGATTAACAGTTTTATAATAACTGAACCATAAAAATAAAGGTTCAGAAGAAAAGAAGCTGTTGTTATGACCCTACCTTACTATGTGCATAAACTACAGACCCCAGCAGCTTCCAGGTGCCCCCCCTCCGGTCCATGCGCACCATGCGCAGGATCTGCAGGAAACGCAGGCTACGCAGCGCAGAAGTGGCAACGATGTTGCCCTGACTACCGGCCGAAACCACAGCAACCGAGGCGATGAGTACGATGATGTCTGTAGAAGACGAAATAAAGGTCACAGAGTAAACAATATTAGTAGCAGGAACTGTGGTTGACTCGCCTACTTTCTACATCCATCAATCACCTTTAAAACAACTATTGATTCACTGATTGTTTCCTTCTCTGTCTCTATCAGTCTTCTTCTGTCATTCTGTCGAAGACACTTGAATGCACCATTTATTCTCTTTTATTTCCCAGCAGGCTCTTCTCCTCCCTGCTGGAGCAACTTCAGAAGGATCGAGAGCCACTGGACTACAAATGGACGTTTTTTTTCTTTCTCTTTTCATACTCGTTACATTTACACTGAAGAGGATCACTCAAGAACAGCGATAATGTGTATTGGACAATAGCATCAGTGCCGGATAATGATCTATTATAGAGGACATAGCACGCTAACTTTCAGGTTCATTTTGTATTAGGTTCAAAAAGCTTATTATTTTCTCATACTGCACAACAATCAATATATACAAAATAACAGTCACTTCACTTTTCACCCTCTGTCTGAAACAAGAGCCCAGTCTGCTCTGATTGGTTAACTGGCCATCTCTGTTGTGATTGGTCAACTGCACACACACACACACACACACACACACACACACACACACACACACACACACACACACACACACACACACACACACACACACACACACACACACACACACACACACACACACACACACACACACACACACACACACACACACACACACACACACACACACACACACACACACACACACACACACACACACACACACACACACACACACACACCACACACACACACACACACACACACACACACACACACACACCCCTACCTATGACACAGAAGGGTTTCCTGGCGAAGCGGAGGCGTCCCTGCCAGCCTCGGTAGCGGCAGCAGCAGCCGGCGCTCCATATCCTGATGATGTACTCCAGACCAAACACTACAATCATCACAAACTCCTGCAGGACACACACAAGCAGAAAACACACATATTTAAACCTTTAAAGCAACAGCGGAAAAGACAGACGTATCAAGGGGTCAAGGATTCTATAGTTTGTTACCGTTAGCTTTTCTAATGAAACAGAAAACACCTTTAGTCTCAATCTATATTCTGAAAAGGTTAATTTGTAGTAAATGTGAAAAAAAGTACTTACTTACCTTCATTATGAACTATATTATTGCTTTTTTATATATTGTACCTTTTTTTTAATGCAATAATATGATAAAAGCTAATTCCTTTTGTGTGAAAACCTGTTCTGCAATAAAACAGATTATAATTATGACTGTGTTGTAAAGTCATTTATAGTCTTTTTGTTTAACATGTTCACATTTCCTGGCAGGAAAAGCACAGGACTAATTTGTATTATTAATAATGGCTTTATTCCATTAGCGTGTGCCAGTTCCAGGCCCTTCCGTTACGCATGCTGCTCACTGGCTTGACGTACTGCAACACTTCAGAGAAACAGAGCCATCGTTTCTGTTATTAGTCACACCTGTGCTTTTCCTGCTATGACAGTTTAAGATGTCTGCTGTGAGAAAGGCTAACCCGTGCCTACCTAGCTACATAAATCACAATAAAACAGTCACATGAAAAGGTTGAAATCACTCTCATGTCTGTCCGTTAATCATGAAGCTGCAGCCAGTAGCAGGATGGGAAGTCATCATACTCAGAAACAGTGCCTCTGAATCCTGTGGCTTATCCAATAACTTCGAGACTGTCTTTTGAACGAGATGTTGAATTTTTAAAATACAATTTTCTTTTGCTTTGACCATTATAGATGGAATGATTTCCTCAGTTTTATTGGGGTGAAAGTAGAATTTCAGAGATGGATATTTTATAACCTGGAGAAATGAAAACTGTCTGCAAGGCTACGCACGACTGGAGGAGAGGAAACTTTACGCAACTTCTGTAAACTATCGTGAACAGCGCTTCTACTTATATAATGTGTGTGTAATTGTCTGTGCCTCCCCTACTTCACATTTACTTTCTCTAAGTTTATGTTTTCGCACTTCCTTTTTCTGATGTATTTCTGCTTCATCACATCTGAGGCAGAGACTGATGACTTTAATTGAATTGTAACAGAATCTTTATTGGCAAGGGACCAATCATTACATATGACTATAGTGCTGAAAATGCCAAATGAGCATCTCTTATGCAGACTCATTACTGAGCTCCACACATGAAAAATAATGAATTTGTTTGTGATTGTGTGTGAGTACGTCCTACCAGGATGAGCAGGCAGTGAGCAGAGAATTCCTGGTGAGCAGGGATGGTGGAAAACACAGAGAGAACCAGACACCCAAACACCAGGATGAACCTGTGGAGACAAAAACACACACACACATATACACACACACACACACAATCAGCTGCGCTTAATACATCAATCTAACCACATATTAAGGAGTTTTGGCTCGTTAGCTCAGGTAATGAACCCATCTGCAGTGATTAACACAGAGAATGTGTGAACCTGCAAGCTATAAAATGATGTGATTACTTCCACTCTTCCAGGCTTCATTAAGCAGGATTTAAACCGCACCAAACATTATTAAGAGCAGGATAAACACTGTATAAAGCTCCACCAAGCTTTATTACACACAGCTGATTCACATCCTGTATGAATGGACTGAAGGTCAACAAGTCCTTCTCACAGTACACTGGCTGAACGAGCCCTTGACACATTCGTGCACGATATGATGTGTGTGTGAGCTTGATTTGTAATTGGTGATTGTAGTTATTAACTAGGAATGTAGGAACATTCATTCTTTTAAAGTAGTCATTTGCGAGTGTTTCAGCAGCATTTTTGGCTCAACGTCATCATTGTTGTGATGTTTTTAAACTGCTCGTGGTGTCCTTTACCTTCTGTATTTTGTAATAAATTACAGTCATTTGACACAAATATTTTGTCCAAAGAAACCTCACATTTTTTGGTAGACCAGAAATAAGCTTATATATAATCATCATGTATATTTTCTTGACTTTCACATAACCTTAGATATAGTAATATAAAGGGCTCAGTCCAATTTCAGAGTAGAAATGAATTAAATGTAAACATCTATGAATAACAATGAAAGGTTTTGTTTTGAGGTTCGAATCCTTTAGTTTTTGAGATTTTCACAGAACTTTGAGGCAAATATCGTCCAGCCTGCTCTTCCTCCTGAGATATTAAAGGTCCCATGTCATGCTTTTCTGGTTATTACCCGTCCCCTTGTGTGTTATGAAGGTTGTTATGAATGTAAACGGTCTAAAAACCCTCAAAGTACACCCTGTAGCGAGTACAACTCTAACACAGAAAATACCTGTCTATGCTGCCCCATAACGGCTCGTTGGAGATTTTCACTTTTTCCATTTGTTTCTTGGACCAAAATGGACCAATCCGCGGAGCTCCTCACACACCAGGACCTTTAGCGTACATGTTCAACTAACAGGGAGTCCCCATTGACTTGCATAGAGCTCCCTGGTTGGTAATAGAGTGGCGAAGTTCCTCCCCTTCCGGTGGACCTCCATGGGACCTTATTTCGAAAAAATTATGTATTGAAGTCAATGGAGAGAGAAAGATTATCTTTCGATCCCGTTGGAATTGTGCCACGAATTACACATATGATGTTTGTCAATTTAAAAGATAATTTTGCAAGTAAAAAAAAAAAGTGTCGTAAAACTGTGAAGTAACACATTTGTTTGTGTGAAACGCTCAATGAACTACATCTCTGGTCTCGCCGAACATAACACGTCACCAAGATGGCCGTTACTCACTACTGTCTTGTCAACAAAACGATTGACTACCCTCACTATCATAGGGTGACCAGACGTCCCCGTTTTCCGGGGACAGTCCAACAGTCCCCATTTGTATTGCCCTGTCCCCGGAAATGTCCCCGTTTTTTAATATGCGTTAAAAACACATAGCAACGTGAAATAAAACGTTTCATGTCAGGAAACACTGGGTAAACACTACAGACTGTGGTCAAGCCAGCCCCCACTTCGGAAAACACAGTCAAGCCAGCCCGCACGTTGTATTGCGGTCTGATTGCGGTGCGCGAATATCCTATGCATTACGGTAGAGGCCTGTAAAAACTGCCTTCAAAATAAAAGCGTTTACTCGGTCAAAAACAAATATACCTAAAAAACACACCAAACATATTCATATATACTGGAGCTTAAATTAAGAAATATGTATTATATAATGTGATCAATAATAATTTAAAACATACTACGTATATAACTACCACATTATAACTGAGTGAATGTAAAATGTAAGGATACAGTTATGAAGACATATCTGACATTTCCACTGGGTGACTCATTTCAATTGATGTTGACACCATCTCACAACACTCCTAAAATAACATTACTTTCTGGAGCACAATTTAAAATGTATGCTGTTTAAAATCTCAAATTAGATCTATTGTCCATCTATATTTTGATTATTATGTAATGGAAACCGTCCATAATCAAATAGTCACTCGAAGTCAATCAAATACTTATTTCACTTCATATGGGCTATCGTCCTTCTGTTTACAAGAATAAATAAAAAACTGTCAAATTATCAAAGACTTATTTCACTCCAGGGTGATAGCAGGACACCCCATCTAGTCACTCAGAGAGAATCTGGACAATCTAATGTAGAGTTTCAAAATAAAAGACCTTTGTAGTCTCATATATGAGCTATCATCCCTCTATTTTTAGATAAGAATAAAACAAAAACGATCCAGTATCAAATGTTTATTTCACTCCAGGGTGATAGCAGGACACCCCATCTAATCACTCAGAGAGAATCAGGACAATCTGATGTGCAGTTTCAAAATTAAAGACCTTTGAAGTCTCATATGAGCTGTTTTTATCCAACAGTTAAAATGTTCGAATTACATTGAACCAGAATTGTCCCCCTTTTTTCTTTAACAGTGAAGAAAATTGGATATGTTACCGCAAAACTCAAAATGTCCCCGGTTTTAATTTAGAAAATCTGGTCACCTTACACTATCACCACAATGAAACACGTCCAGAAGAATGTCATGCAAAGCTGCCTGCCTGCCTTCCTTTGATTCTCTGAACTGCCTGGTCTTTTTAATGTTTAATGTCAACCATTTGTGCAGATAGCATGAAGTAGAAAAGATCGGCGATCGCCGATGCTAGCGTTAGCATTTCTCCCCCGGGCTTAAATTGTGTATTATAGAATGATCACACCGGTGACAGTACTCTTCAAAGGGTTCACGAAATATGACTACTACTCTTACTGTTTAACATTTTGGGTTACTTAATGTTCCTTCATATTAAGGCTAATAAAAATGACAAGGCTGTAATGCTAACTAACGTGCTACCTACTAGCTACTGTAAGTAGCTAACTTGATCCAGCCACTCCTGGTCCTTTCATCAGACGGGAAGCGAAAGAACGAGCAAGACCCATTGCTGGTATGATAACAACCTGGTACTAAGCACACAGGCATCTTGTTAAAGTTATCTTATTTTAGCCAGCACCATATGTAGCTATCTCTTAGTGGAGGAAAACAATTGTGACATCACTTACGCAACTCTGGGATTTGTAGTCTTTCTAGTTGCGTATTTTTCATAGTCTTATATATATTTTTTTTCTTTCCTTCAGTCTTTATTTCGAACAGTCACCTTACACTATCACCACAATGAAACACGTCCAGAAGAATTTCTAATTTCCAATTTCCAATTTTCTTCACTGTTAAAGAAAAAAGGGGGACAATTCTGGTTCAATGTAATTCGAACATTTTAACTGTTGGATACAAACAGCTCATATGAATTATTAAAAAATAACAAACAGTTAATTTCAACAGTTTTACGACAAATTGTGACTTTTTTGACATGGAAATTATTTTTTAAGATTGACAAACATCATATGTGTAATTCATGGCACAATTCAAACTGGATCGAAAGATAAGTTTTCTCTCTCCATTGACTTCAATACATAATTTTTCCGAAATAAGGTCCCATGGACCGGAAGTAGATGGGCGTGACTTCGCCACTCTATAGACGAGTTGGGATCGCGGAGAAATGCTCTCCGCAGACCCATTCTCACAGCGTTTATAAAACTTTTTCTTACTCAATATCAAGCCACACTTATTGTTTTTACTTCGGCTGTGACTTTGTGTGTGCTCAGGATGAGTTTCGCGCTGTCCCGCTGTATCGGCGACCCGGAAACCACACCATGTAAGCCAGCTCACTGAGCAGCGAGCCTCGCAACGTCCCGACCAATCAGAGCACACTGGGCTCACAGGGAGGGGGGGGCAGGAGCTCCAACAACCCGTTTAGATCAGAGAGTGAATACCTGGTGAATACACATACTATACAGAGATGCTGTATGAGAAACCAATGTGAGTTTGGAAAATTGCACAATGTAAATCTATTTTAGTAGACCTCAACAATGGAATTATGATCAGTAGAAATGGCCATGACATGGGACCTTTATCACCTGTGACAAAGGATGGGTTTATTTTGGCAACACTGGTATCTATGTAAGCATATATGTTCCTATTGATTTAACCAGGTTTTTAGATGTGAACAAACATAATGAGGGGTTGAATGGATTTCCATTTGTGGTTCTCACACGATTGAAAATGGCATCAAAACATTTGAAAGCAAAACGTTTTTCCAGAAACAATGTCCTTGCCCTTTAGTGGAGTTATTTATACTGAGGAAATAGTCCCTCCTTTGGAGAAACCGTTACTGTTGACAATTTGAAACGTGAAACTTGTCATTGCTATGAGCCATACTGGGATGGAAAAATGTCAGAGCTGATCTCTGAAGACACAGTATGGATCAACAAAGACTACAATGGAAAACAAAGGAGGTGAGAAACAAAATATTGTTTCCTAATTCAGGTTTAAAATAACTGCATACATGCTGAGTCATCATTCTGACAGTAACACTGAAGTTCCTATCAGTTTGGAGATGTGAAAACGCTGATATACCCCAAGAAAAATCTCCATTAAACACTGTTTCTAATTTCACGAAGACATATTGCATCTTTACTTTATTTAAATCTCGAAAGAAGTCCAATCAGAGCCCTCCTCATTGCCTGCCTGACCCCAAACGCTCCTCTGCTGCTCGGAGGAAACCGCTCAATCCGTGAGTCATATGGTAACCTTGTTAATGAGCAAATACACATTAAAATTCATAAAGCAGGATCCAAGCAACATATGCACTTGCTAGCCTGCTGGTCCCTCTCCACAACTTTTTTCTTGAAGATGCCATCTGTCTTTCTGATGTTTACAGTCTTCTCATCTCTGCAGATCTCAGAGTGTTTGTTTTCTGTGAATGTGCCTCGTTCCCCTCTCCTCTCCAGAGCCCTCTGCC